CCTGTATGGCCGTCATGACTGGAGGTGAGATGGTACCCTTAGCCTGGTGGGTCCTGGGGCAGGGCCTCCTCTTCACTGCCTTCCCTACTCTGTTCAGGCTGAAAGGTGCCCAGAGTCGAGGTGACTGGTACAAGACAAAGGAGATCCTGCTGAAGGGGCCTGACTGGATCCTGGGTGAGGTCAAGGCATCAGGCTTGCGGGGCCGTGGAGGCGCTGGCTTCCCCACTGGCCTCAAGTGGAGCTTCATGAATAAGCCCTCAGATGGCAGGTGTGTGTAGGGAGGCAGAGATGGGGTTGTAGGAGAAACCCTGGGGGTGGCTGTGGCTTACCCAGGCCTTTGGGTTGTTTACTTGGAGTGAATAAAGTGGGAAAAAGTTACCGGAGCTTAACTTGGTGGGACTCAGTTCTCTCTGGTCTTCCTCAAGGGAGACTTGAGGGGTAGCAGAATCAAAACAAGATTTTGACTTGGAGACTTAGTTGATCAATTCCCAGCTTTGCCTTCTAATCGTATAGCTTTGGGCAGTTCCCTGGCCTTTATGAAGCTCAGTGTTCTCTTTTATAAATGGGTATTGTATTGTGCAGGGATTAAAGAGGTAAGGTTTGTATAGCTTTTGGCCCGCACCATGGTCAGCACATAGAAGGCAAATGGTAAACGTCAGCTACTTTACCTTTTGGCCCCAGAGATATGGCGGAAGTTCAGAACGGTTCTATGTGAGCAGAGCAGCGTTTGGGCTCCCGGGAAAGCACAAGGAGAGACATTTGTACTGAGAGAACGAAGACCTTTCCTGTGGTAATAGCCACCCGAAGTGGGACTAGGCAGTGAGCTCCCTGTCACTGGTGATGAGCAAGCACACCCCTGAGAATATGTCGGGAGGGCAGAGAAGGACTGGCTTCAGAGGAGACATCTTTGAGGCTTCCTTGGGTAAATTGGGGGTTGAAAGCTCAGTGCTGGTGGCCCTGTAGCCTAACTGACCTGCTGGTCCTGACAGGCCCAAGTATCTGGTGGTAAACGCAGATGAAGGGGAGCCCGGAACCTGCAAGGACCGGGAGATCATGCGCCACGACCCCCACAAGCTGGTGGAAGGCTGCCTAGTCGGGGGCCGGGCCATGGGCGCCCGGGCAGCCTACATCTACATCCGAGGGGAATTCTACAATGAGGCCTCCAATCTGCAGGTGAGCCGGGGGAGGGGCGTCCACAGAGGAGGAGGCGCTCGGTGTACACTCACACGCCCCCTTACCTGGCATAGTTGTTCTTAGATTTTAGCGCCTGATCTGTCTGGGGTCAAACTGGGAGAGTGGTGGTCACTCCTGCATGCATTGTGAATGGGATGGGACATGGCCCCCAAAGCCTCCTTCTCTGGGCTTTTCCTCTGTCCCCAAAGCCTCAACTTAGGAGGCCTTCCAGGGCTCCATGAGTCCTAGGGTGCAGGTGGGCTGGGGAACTCATAATGAGGGCACATTTCCTGCAGAAGGGTCAAGGGGTCATTTCAGTAATTAGTTCGGTGACGCCTATAGTAACTGGTGCAGGGTCAGAATCACACCTTTCTGTTAGGCTCCTACCCAGCAGTGACGAGGGATACAGGAATAGCACGTGGAACAGTGCCCTAGCACATAATTGCATTGTGCATAAGACTTGTTATTACATATTTTAAAATAAACATCTAGGGTCTTTTTCTCTACTGCAGAAGTAGTACTTACTCATTATAAAAATAGGAAACCACACACACAAGAGAAAAATCTCCCACAGATCATTACCTAGGAAACTACTTGCTAAATTTTAATTATTTCCTAAAATCTTTCTTTTAAAAATATGTACAGTTGGAGAATTTTCAAGTGTTGTTGTAATGGCACATACACTGTAGAAGTCCCCACCCTTGCCCAAAGTGTCCTCCACTTGTGTCCAAAGGGAGCTTTTGCCCTGGATTTGCTGATGGACTCACTGGGCCCGTACCCCCTCGTCCCCCACATACACAGTGTTCCTGGGTTCTTGGGGACGGTGCCGTCATATTCCTGTCCCACAGGTAGCCATCCGAGAGGCCTATGAGGCTGGTCTGATCGGCAAGAACGCCTGTGGCTCCGGCTATGATTTTGACGTGTTCGTGATACGGGGGGCTGGGGCCTACATCTGCGGGGAGGAAACGGCACTCATCGAGTCCATTGAGGGCAAGCAGGGCAAGCCCCGCCTGAAGCCGCCCTTCCCTGCAGATGTGGGTAAGACCCAGCCCATTCTTTTTTTGTTTTTGTTTTTAAGATTTTATTAGGGAATTGGTGGAGGGGAACAGTGTTGGGGGTTGGGAAAGGGGGCCGGCCAAGTTGTTCTTCAATCTTCATTGTGGAGGGCACCAGTCACGATCTGGCTGCCCATCGGCAGCTTCTGGCCTCTAAGCTCAAGGTGCTGTGTTCAGTCTTACTTGCGGGTGGGCGTAGCCACCATCCCATGTGGGAGTCGAACCAGCAGCCTTGTTGTTAAGAGCGCATGCTCTATCCACTGAGCCATCTGGGCGGCAGCTCAGCTCAAGGTGCTGAGTTCAGTCGTTGCGAGTGGGCTTAGCCCACCATCGAACAGGCAGTCTTGTTGTTACACCAGCTGAGCCATCCTGCCACCTGTTGGCAGCTCAGTAGCAGCTCAGCTCGGGTACAGCGTTACTGGCCCATGTGGGAATCGAACCGGCAGCCCTGTTGCTCAGAGCTCGCGCTCTTAAGCCAACCGTTAACCAACTGAGCCACTCGGCCGGCCCCCCAGCCCATTCTTGAGTCTTGTCCTGTGACATCTGAGATCTGGCTTCACGTTCCCCTGGTCATTCTTAGGGTATTTCTGAGTTCCTTCTGCCTTGGAGGCCAGACACAGAAAGTAGAGTGCTAACAGCAGAGGCTGCCCCAGTACCGCCCGCCTCAGCCCCCATGGGAGATACCCAAGTCCCCTCCAACCCTCTGGGAGCAAAGGTCAGGGTGATGAACAAGGTGATGCAGCTCCTGTTGGAATTTGGGGTCCAGTGGGGATGAGAATGATAAAATGATGGGGGTGCTCTCTGCCACATGAGCAGGACCCTGGGACAGACCCCATTGCCAGGAAACCTGTTCCAACCTGTGCCCACCCCTGGCAGCTACCAGTCCCTTGTTCCATTTCCTCACAGGAGTGTTTGGCTGCCCCACAACTGTGGCCAATGTGGAGACAGTGGCTGTGTCCCCCACCATCTGCCGCCGTGGGGGTGCCTGGTTTGCCAGCTTTGGCCGCGAGCGCAACTCGGGCACCAAACTGTTCAACATCTCTGGCCACGTCAACCACCCTTGCACTGTGGAGGAGGAGATGTCTGTACCATTGAAGGAACTGATTGAAAAGCATGCTGGTGAGGCCTGGGGCCACATGGGAAGACGGGGCAGGGTGTCCTTGGAGAGAACCAGGGCAGGAAGGGCCTCTGGGGTGGGGGTTCGGGCTGACAGGCCCTGGGCTTAGGACTAGGCAGGTGTGCCAGACCCAGCCCTGACCATTCATCCTTTTGGGAACTGATGGGGATTCCAGGGGGAGTCACGGGTGGCTGGGACAACCTCCTTGCTGTGATCCCCGGCGGCTCGTCCACCCCACTGATCCCCAAGTCCGTGTGTGAGACGGTGCTGATGGACTTCGACGGGCTGGTGCAGGCGCAGACGGGTCTGGGCACAGCCGCAGTGATCGTCATGGACCGCTCGGTAAGGGCTGGCCCATGCTTCCAACCCAGCCCCTGCCTCATGCCAGCCTGCTTAGAACCCCTCCCCGGGCTTCTCTGAGAACGCTTGCCAATTCGTGGGTCCCTGTTCTTGCAGCCTGAGATACAGTGAAGTGGGAGAGGAGGGAGCAGAGCTGCTGTGGGGGAGCGTGCCCATGAAGTGGGCACTGCTGGGGGCTGAGGCTCAGGCCTTGGGTGCCCGCTCACTGTCCCTTGTCACTCCAGACAGACATTGTGAAAGCCATCGCCCGCCTCATTGAGTTCTACAAGCACGAGAGCTGTGGCCAGTGCACCCCATGCCGTGAGGGTGAGCACCCCAGGCAGGGTGGGGGCTTTTTCTCTGGTCACCCTGGGCCTGCATTGGTCGTACGACAAAGGTGGGGTGAGCTCTGAACCCTGAATTAACAGCTGCTGCCTCCCGGCCTGCTGTGGTATCTCTTAGTCCCCACCCGCTGTGGCCTGCACCCCTCAAGTGCCATCCCCCACACCCTGGCTAGAGGAGACCATCAGGCCCTCTCTTGCTGCCGTGGCTGCAGGTGTGGACTGGATGAACAAGGTGATGGCCCGCTTCGTGAGGGGGGATGCCCGGCCGGCTGAGATCGACTCCCTGTGGGAGATCAGCAAGCAGATCGAGGGCCACACCATTTGTGCCTTGGGTGACGGGGCCGCCTGGCCTGTGCAGGTACTCACTACCCAGCTACATGGCACTAGGGTGGGGTGCTGAGAGCCCAGGGCAGTGGGGGAGTTCAGACCCCATTTCACACAGTGCCCCCACCCCCACCCCCCCTCAGGGCCTGATCCGTCACTTCCGGCCGGAGCTTGAGGAGCGGATGCAGCGGTTCGCCCTGCAGCACCAGGCCAGGCAGGCCACCGCCTGAGCCCCCTGCCCTGGCTGGCGTCCATCTGTCTGGACCCCTGGACAATAAAGCGAGTGCTGCCCACTGTCCTGTTGCAGCTTCTCTGTGGCCTTGCTCTTCACCCAGCCACCCGTGGCCCGTTACCCATGGAGGCCTGTTTCCCAGACTGAGGCAGAGGATTGGGAGGGGTGCGTCAGCTCAAGGTCATGTCATGAATACACAGCTTGGCCTCTTGTGGGTCAGTGAGCCTCCTAGACCATCCTGAGCACCAGCCCTCGTGCAGGAAGCAGGGGCGGGGAGGAGGGGCTTTTCCTGGGGTGGTGAGGGGAAAGCTGTGGCCTGGGGTGCAGGCCTGGGCCTCTGGAAGGTGGGGCAAGGAGAGCAGGACTTAGACTGCCCTGGGAGGCGATGGGCAGGGAAAGAACAGGCTCGGTCTGGCCTGGTTTGGACGAGAGGTTTATTCTTCCTGGTTTGGCAGTGGGCAGATCTGGAAGATCAAGGGAGGAAACAGTTTGACTAGGAGCTGGGCACAGTAGGTGAGGCAGCCCCAAGTCTTCGCAGCTCTGTGGAGACATCCGCGGGTCAGTTTCGGGGAGAAGCGGTGAGCAGGGTCAGGGCAGGTGCCCCTGCTAGCCGCTGAGCTGGAAGGGCACACCGTCCAGTGTGTGCCACAGCTCCAGCCGGCAGTCACTGTTGTCTAGGCACTCGTGCCAGTGTCGCTGGCGTTCCCCACTGGCCCAGCCACTCAGCTGCACCCCACCTGGGTTGGATGATAGGTGTCAGGAACCCATTGGGCCCCCCCACTCAGTTCCCCTGCACTCCCACTCACCAATGAAGTCATTGGCTGTGCCCAGGTCATAGTCCCACACAGACACCAGCAGTGTCTTCTGGGCCAGCTCCTCCCTTGGGCCAGCGTAGAAGAACTCCTGCGGGGAGGGGGACAAAGGCAGGCAAGAGGCTGCCTCGGGTCCTTCACATTCAGAAGCAGGCTTAGGCAGGTGAGTGGCTCAGGTTAGCTGGGACCTGCGCTTTCTGACTGAGGCAGGACGCTGACCTCCTCCACCCCAGAGCAGCCAGGACTGGCCCGGCACAGCCCTGACCTACCTCATTGAACTCAGGGTTCAGGGTCTTCTTCCGAACACTGGTCTTGTATTTAGATTTCTTTCCCACATTTGGATGCAGGAAACTGGGGAGGATGGAGTCGGGTTGGGTGCGGTCCTGGAGAGGTCAGCCCCAGGGGGGCTCTGAGGAACTCCCATGCCCACCTGCCTACCTACCCCTTTTCACACTCACAGGCGGACGAAGGGGTCCGAGTAGCCATTGGCGTCCATGGGGGCGAGGTGGGCACAGCGCAGCACACCCACCAGCAGGCCGCCCCGCTGAGAGCTGTAGCACAGTGACAGCAGGATGCGCCCGCGTTCCTCCCCGGCCACCTCTGCCTCCACCTCCTGCAGGGTAGGCTGGGGTCAGCCCCTGGGTGGACCCAAAGTTCACCCACCCACCCACCTACCAGTGTTGGCCAGGATGTGAGGACTCACACTGGCTGCAAAGAAATCGGGCCAGTGACTTAACTTCATGATTCAATTTCCAGAAACAGCCACTGACCTGGTGCCCTGGAAGGGAACTTAATGGGTCAACTGTGCCCTCGAGGGCCTAAGAAGGGGAGGGGCTTGCTCAGGCAATGTGACTGGTCAGCTCAGGGCATCTTCATCGTGGAGAGGAAGGAAACTGATGTTACCGAGTGCCACAAACATGCTAAGAGCTTTCTGAGTGGCCTCCCACTCAGTGCCCATCGCCACTCTCCTACAGGGCAAGCCCTGTGCCTCTGAAGCTGTTCTCTACCCAAGGACGTACAGGTCTAGATGCTGAATGTCCTTTGCCACACTCGGCCCCTTGTGCTTCCAAAGGACTCGGGAGAATGTCTGGGAAGAACATGCTTCTCCCACACTTAACATAGGATTCAATTTGCAGAAACCCAACCACTGTGCCGCATTTGGTTCTCAGGAAGTGCTCCGTGAGCACTCACCGTGCACCGCGGCACTGCTGTGTGTGGGGTCTGGGATGGCAAGCGGGTGGCACGGGGTACCTGCCTCACCTTGGTGGGACTAGCCTGGCCTTGGTTAGTCGGTAGCTGTAGTAACTTGTGGCTCCAGCCTTCCATGTGAGAGGGGCCTGGGCCAGCCCTTGCCACAGCCTGGCAGGTGCCCCATCCCTCCTGGGCGAAAGGGGCTCTGGCCTAGTTTCCTGTGGGGCCCGGGCCCCCTGCAGTCACCGTCACTACCTTTTGACAAGGGCCTGTCAAGGACTCCCAGTTCTAGGAGTGGCACCCACACTACCCCAGGGGTCGTCCTGGCAGTCAGGGAGCCTCGCCCTGTCCATTCCCCCCCTGCCCTCTCAGCTCCTTGGGCCACTGACAAATCCCACCTCTGCTTCAAGGTGGCCTGGGTCTCTGTCCCCTGAGGGCTCTGCTTGTCCTCTGGCCCAGCTCCTCTGGGCTCCCCTGGTATGGAAATCATCCTCCCCTTCCTGCCACTTGCCTGGCTGTCCCCCAATGCTCCGGCGCTCACAGATCCTGTGAGAGGTGGCCTCTGTTTCTCCAAGCCCACTCGGCCCCTGCATGATGCGCGTCAGCCTGGGCCACCCCAGGCCTGTCCCTTCCACATCCCTGCTCAGTCCTGCTATCCTACCCACCTCCTCATACAGGGACATGCCACGGGCTGTATCCAGGCTCTTGGGCCTCTTGGTCTGAAAGCAGAGAGCTCAGTTACCTTGCCTTGGCTAGACGCTGCCTGGATCCCCCCGCTTCTCTCTCCAGCTCCCCAGGCTCCTGGCCCCCGAAGCCCCACCCTGTGCACCAGCCCCACTCACCAGCCTCCGCTTCTCCAGACACACATCGAAGCTCCTGGCTCGGTTGGGCACCAGCTTCCTCAGGGGCACCCGCAGCTCCCCCAGCAGAGGCGCCTGCCGCCGTCGCCGCAGCCGTGGGTCCTCACACACGCACAGCCTGGTGGACACCCAAGTCACACCTGGCCAGGCAAGCCCCCACTCCGCCCTGCTCCCCCGTGGCCAGGCCCAATCCTCACCGCAGGGTCTTGCGCCCAGCATCCTGGCGGGTGAAGCCGTGATAGGTAAGTGTCTCTTCCCAGACAGGTCCCCTTGTGCCCCGAACGGTGCGTGTCCTCAGCTGGCTGGCCTGGGGGCCAGGCAGGGTGGGTCAGGGCCGCCTCAGTCCCCAGGACCCCACCCTGGCCCACCTCCCTGATAGGATCCCCAATTGTACATCCCAGCAATGGGGAGCTCTAGGCTGGGTGTGTGGCCAAGGGGCAGCAGTAGGGGCCTGGGTCTTGCCGTCACCTTGCTGGCCCCTGGAAGCAGATTGGCTTTGATGTAGGTGTCCATGGAGCCTGAGGCTGGTGGCTTGAGGCCCTGGGAAGAGACTGGATGTGGGGCAGACCTGTGGCTCAGGCCCACGGCCCAAAGACCCCTCGACCCCATCCTTACCTTGGCACGGTGAGCTGTGCAGTGCAGGGCGCTGTTGTCCACATCAAAAAGAAGCGTGAACTCAAGGGTGCCCAGGGCAGCTAAGAGCAGGTGGCAGTCAGGGTCAGTGCCCACCTGAACTGCCCCCCCACACATAGCATCATGCCTCCTGCCTTGCCCCTCTCTGTCAGGTGTCTGGGGGTGCCCAGAACGCACCCTGGCTGGGCTGGGCCTAGGGTGCCCCCCTTGTCCCCTGCCCCCACTTAACTGCTGTCATCTGAGTCTCCCTCTGGCTCTGGGTCCGGCTGCAGCTGGGGTGCAGAACTGATGGTGGGGACCACTGCAGGGCGCGGGTCTGGGGCACGCAGGGCGGACTCAGAAAACGGGTAGAAGTGCGGAAAGTAGTCAGAAATGAGGTGGATAGGCCGGATGGGACCTGGGTTCACATCGATGGCCATGTGCTCCTGCATGCTCACCCGCTGCGGTCGCCGCGCCGCCATGGGGGCTCAGGCATGGGGCGGGGATTCACAGAAGCCCCTGCAGCCTGGAGATGAGGGGACCTCACAGAGGCATCACTGAGGGTGCTGGGGGTGGGGTCTTGGGTGGCAGCCAGGATCTGACGACAGAGCACAAGGTCAAGGCAGGTGGGGTGGGGGGGGGGAGGGGAGGGGGGCTCCACCCTGGAGGGGACCCAGTGTGCAGGCAGTCTGGCCGGCTGTGCTACTTACTGCTCTCAGAGCTCCTCCACCTGGTTTGGTTCGCTGCTGGCGCTGGGTGTGCGCCTGACTGAGGTGCCCTGTGACAGCAAGTGTGACCAAGGGCCTCCTCCTGTGGGGGAGGGGCTGGGGCTCAGGAGATAGCACCTCCCTGGGCTCAACCCCAAGGGTCCCTTAGTGAGAGGTAGGGGGGCCTCAGCCTCCTGTCTCCTCCCTCGCCACTTCCCTCCCTCCCCCATTCACATGCTGTCAGAGAGTTATTTTTACCACCGTCATGCAGCCCTGCTCCTGGGTAAGAAGGCTGGAGGGCCAGAGGTGACACAAGGAGTGTGAGGGACAATGAGAGGGGGGTGTGGGGAAGAGGCAGGTGAGACGGGAGGGGTGCAGGAGGAGAGAGCATGTGGGAAGGTGTGTGGGAACGGGGAGGAGTGCTGGGGCACTTGGGGAGGTGTGGAGGGAGTGCCTGGGGAGGTGAGGTGGGAGGGCTTCTATGGAGGGGGGCGCCCGGGAAGAGAGCATCTGAAGTCTGGTCCCCTTGCAGCTCAAGCTTTTTAAAACATGAATCAGACCACTTCAACACCTCTCCCCCTCTCGGGGCTTGGAATAAAATCCTAACCCATCACTAATGCGTGTTCTCTTGGTGCCTCATGGGGTCCCTAGTGTTGGGGCCACCCCCAACCCTTATTGCCAGTTTACTCTTTGTGCATGTGCTGCTCCTTCTGCCCCCACTTCCTTCCCCTGCCCTTTGACCCGGCCCACTCCTGCTCACTTTTGATTTCAAGGTCACTCTCTGAAGGAGAACTTAGCTGGCTTTTGCCTGCTCAAACTTCCCCCTTCCCAGTGGTCCTTTGGAGGCCACCCCTTCCCTATTCTCAGTCCAGGAGGTTCATCCTCTTCCCCAGCCTTGTGCCCAGGCTCTGCCATTCAATGAAGTCCAAAGCCAGCAGGCCACATGACAGGCTCGGGGAAGGGCATGTGACCGAAGGCAGGCCCTGACAGTGCAATTCTGTGTTAGACTGGCCGAGGGGCAGCTGTGCTTTCTGCTGATGGAACACTGGTGCTGAGCCATCCTAGAGCTGTTGCCCTCTCCTCACCGCTCATCCCTGTGGATTGGAGGATGCTCCTGAGAGTGAGGCCCAACAGTGGGAAGCACAGAGAAAGGGCCCCTGGATCCAGCCACGCCTGAAGCTAGTGTATCTCTGGAGTTTGTAATCACCATCTCTTGGCAGTCAGTTGGTGGGTGGAATTTTCTATCACTTGTCCTGGCTAACACTGACCACTCCACCCTGTCAAGGTCAGACCACCGACCCCCTCAACTCTCTCACAGAACCCTGGTCTACATAAGTAATGTATAATTCCAGTATTATCTGTGATCGATTACTGTGCAATCACACAATTATCTGTGTGACCTGGTCTAGGTCTACCCCAGAGGCCAGGCCAGCATCTGGCTGGTCCGCGATGTGGCCCCAGCACAGCAGCTGGTGCATGGTGGGCACTCGGCAGTAACATGCAGGGCTCCCCTCCAGATACCTGCAGTGATGCATGGAGGAGGGAACAGTACAGCAGCTAAGAGTTTGGGCTTGAGTCAAAGAGGACCTGGTTCGGATCCCCGCTTGGGGTGACCTTGAGCAAGGTGTCTATCCTCCCTGAGCCCCAGTCTCACCAGCCAGGGAGTGTTGGCCCCATCTCATAGGGCTGTGGGTGAAATGAGAGAAATGACTCCAAGTACCTGGCACACACAAGTGCCCACTGCTGTGGATGACATTGTGATTGGACAGAGGCGCCCCAGCCAGACCAGCTGTCCTGTGGGGTTTGCCCAAGGGAAGGGCCCCAGCGCAGATTTAACTGACAATAGAGTTGGTAAAGGCTCTTTATTCAGTCCTGGAATAGAGCTGGTCTGGCAGGGGAAGGCAGGGGCTACTTAGGGCGAGGGCTTCAGCCCCTGGACAGCCCAGGGATGACCAGGCGGGGCTGGTAGGCACCCGGTGCCAACAGCTGCAGGGTGAACTCGGTGATGATAGCTGTGAGCCCCCAGACACGGTGTGGCCCGTGAAGGAAGACAGGCAGTGTGTAGCGGAAGTGGCCACCCTGGCAGAAGTGGGTATAGCCCTGGTTCTGTGCCTGCAGCAGGTGGGCTAGGGGCAGTGCAAACACCTCGTCCACCTGTGAGAAGGAGGCGGTGAGAGGGTGGACAGAGGACTGGCCACTGCTGCCTCCCCCCATTGGGACAACCCAGTTCCTCAGCCCCACCCCCACCCCCCACTCACCTCCTTGGGATTGGGCTTGAGATTCTGGGGATCCAGTGGGCCCACACCAGCAAGCACAGGCACCACGGTGGCCTTGCTCTGGGGCAGGAAAGCAGACAGTCAGGGGAGACGTGGCCTTGGCAGGGCTTTGCGACTGGGGAGGGGAACCTGAGAGGAAGACCCCATCTTGCTGTCCAGAGGCCTTTAGCTGTCAAGGCCAGGTGCATCTGGTCCCTACCTTGGGGCTCACTCCGCCATGCTGACTTGACTTGGGCCCCGCGTTCAGGCCTCTGGGCCTTTGCAGACTGTTCCCTCCACTTAGAACAACCTTCCCTTACTTTTGCTACCCTAAAATCTGCCACTTGTCATTCAATTCCTTCCTAGCTTGTGAAACCTTCCCCAACCCTCATCCACCAAGCTGAGCAGAGCTGGCTCACCCAGGGGCCGTTTAAAAGGGGATAAAAATAACCCTGGCCCCTCCTTGATGGGTTGTGTGGGGGACAGAAGAGACTTCCAGGCGGGTGTCTGGTGCTCCACCGCATCCTACGCCTGCCAGTCCACGACCGTGCTCCTTGTCCCTCGGCAGGCAGAGTGGGGCAATGGGGTAAAGGGCTGGCAATAGCCTCAGGGCCTGGTGTGCTCACCTGGTCATACACGGGCTGCAGGACCCCCCACACATGTTCCTCAGGTACAGCCAGGCCCAGCTCCTCGCGGGTCTCCCTCAGGGCCGTGTGCACCACATCCTGGTCAGCGGGGTCACACTTGCCGCCTGGGAAACTAAACAGGCACAGGCAGCCTGGTCCTTGGGCTGTTAGGGCCATGGAGGGGGTGGGGATGGCAGCTGTGGCAAAGCGGCAGTGACCCACCTAAGCCTCGGCCCCTAGTTTGCAGGGAGGCTTCTGGCAAGTCAGATCTCTCCAGGCTCAGCAGTGGAGGTAAAGGAGAGAAGCCCTGGGGCTTAGACACACAAATTCTAAGGTGGCCCCAGATCGCGCCGAAGGCGGGGCCAGGGCGGAAACCGGGAAGCCCTGTCTCGTGCTCTTCCTAGGCTCTGGGACCGTAAACTCCCCCATAGTCGCCGGGAGGGGGCGGAGTCCTGCTTTTTCGAGAGTGGGACGCTACTTCGGTGTCGCAGCCCGAGGTGGTGCGGACGCTCCTCGGGGGACTCGGCAATGAGCTGGGGCAGAAGCACTCCCAGGCTCCAGGAGGAGGGACGCGCGCGGGTCGCCAACCCGGTCATAGCCCGGGACCGACATGCTCTCCGCGGACCCATTCTCCGAGGCGCGGAGAGGCTAAGCGCCTTGCCCACGGTCCCGGCGGTCTCCGGGGTTCAGCGGCCTCCTTCCTCCTAAAAGGGAAAAAGAGTTCTCGGGCGGTGTACCTGACGTCCCCCTTGTGCCTCCCGACCAGGCGACTGGACCGCAGCGTGTAGAGCAGCGCCGGGACCCCGCGTACCAAGCACAGCGGCACAAGCACTGCGGCCGCCGCGGGCCGCGCGCGGAGCCGGGCTGTAGCCTCCGCCAGCAGCCGCCGGCAGCGCCACTCGCCCTCCGCTGACAGGCAGTCGGGCAGCATGTCCGGCCGGGCGCTGCCGGGACAAGGGCGCCGGGCCTCGGGAGAAAAGGGGCGGGGCAGCGCTCACACTCTTGGCAACCCGGCGGGGGCCGTGGGAGGAGTTGGCCCTAACGCCCCGCCCCTCCCGGCCCCTTGAGGCTCAGAAGCTGCGGCAGCTCCTTTGGGGGCGGGGCTCCGAGGGACGGGGCGGGGCCTCCACAGGACAGAGAGCAGGGCCCCAGACGGGAAAGCGGCGGGCGGAGCTTGGGGGAGATCCTTCGTCCTGAGATGGGGGCGTGGCCGGAAGGGGCGCGGCCATAGACCTTGGGCTGCCGGCAGAGGGGCGGGCCTGGGCCAGGGGCGGAGCTGGCGGGGGGGGCGTCCGGCGAGTGTCTTCGATCCCTTCGGAGCAGCTTGGGTGGTGCCCAGCCCGGCAACCGAACCCAGCCCTTCTGACCGCGGAGGTCAGGAGGCGGGGTGTCTTTCTGTTGAGGCCCCGCCGGGCTCCGCGTCCCTGCGCCCCCACTTGTGTTGGTGTCTCTCCAAGGACCTCACAGGATGGGCGGAGTCGGCGTTTAGCGGGTTCAGGGGGCTCCCCTTGGGAGGCCGAAGACGTCAGAGGCGGGAGGAGGAGTGCCCTCCGGGGCTCTTTTCCTGGTTCCGCTAGGTGGCGCGCGCCGCGCGCTACCGCTCCAAGGGACCCACTCCAGCCCCAGGCCTTTGCCCTGAGTTTTCTCCCTTCGTCCAGTCCCCGCTCCCCAACAATTTCTTCTCCTTTAGGTGTTAGTTTAAATGTCACTTTCTCTAGAAGCTCTCCTGTCTCGAATCTTGATCAGATTCTCAAATCCCTCCACCCGCCCCACCTTGGCCCATGAGGTCATGGCCTGTTGTGGTTCTGCACCTATCCACAAGACCCTGGCCCCTCGAGGACAGACAACCCTAGCCTTCCGTACAGCACCTAAACGTGGAATGGTAGGTGTCACCATACTTTGCTTTGACTTGGAGCACTTGCCTCTCCGTGCTGCGGTTTCAGTCCTCATTTGGGCACGTAAGGCAGGGCAGCAACCTCAGCCTCCCACACAGTCCTACCACTCGACTGTTGTCACCACGTTGACCATCACTCTGTTCTTCCAGGATACGAACTGCACTGGGCAGAGCTTTGGGACGCCCGCAGACCAGACTCTGGGGTCTGGGCATTCCTGAGGCCCTCCACCCCAATCCCTGAGGACAGAAGTGCTCTGACTACCCATGCCAAATAGTTTAATGTTGAGGGTAAGGGAGGGGTAAAGCAGGGTTTGGAGGAGTCCCCCCCCCCAAGACAGAAGGGGACAGATTGGGAGGTAGGGGGCCTGGTTCCAAGTCTGGCACCATCCCAGGTTTGCTGTGACTGAGCAGGCAGCCTCCTTCTCTGGGCTTCCACCTGCATTGCTGTCCTTGGGAAAAGAGGGGTTCTCTGCTGAGGTGAGGCTGGAAGGGTGGGGCCCAAGGTAGGAAGACTGTCCACAGGGGACCCACTATCACTGAGGGTCCTGGCGAGACCCCAGGCACATGGTGCTGGGGGACAGAAGCCCCAGCCCAGCTGGGAGAGGTAGGCCCTCCTGATCCCTGTCAGCCTGGATATTGGGGAGGGGGTATGGTGTTGGTCGGGCCCTTGGGATTCCAAGGGGGCTTGAGACTCCAGGGTATAGGTCCTGGTAAGTGAGGGGCCGATAGGTGGCTGGGGCCAGCAGAGCCTCAGGGGGGGCCAGCAGCTGATGGTGGAGTCGGGCAGGGGTTCTGGAGGTGGAGGCTGGAGCCTTGTTGGGGTCTGAGGGAGAAAATGGTCTGAGTAGACCCTAGACCGCCCCTCACACCCACAGCCTGCCCTGTCCCCTTCTGCGCCTCCCCTTTCAAGTTGCCCACCTCTCAGCCTTTACTCTTGCTCTCTCCTCTGCCTGGAGTTTCTCCCCTACTTTCTCCCTCTATCTAAACCCTTCCCAGTCCTTTAAGCCCCAGCTTGGGAACCACCTCCTCCAGGAAGCCCACCTGACACCCGCACCCTGCTCTCAGCACCGTTTTCCTGTCCTGTTCTGTCTGCCCTGGGCCCCAAATTGTTTCAGAAATCTCTGCTTCCCCCTCTCTGTCCACACAGTGCCCATTGGGCTTGCTGAGCATGCTGGAGCTGCTTCTTGGGCCCTGTGACCCTGTGCACTTGCTTCCCACCCACAAAGCAGGGCCTGGTCCCAACTGTGTCTGTGGGTCTGGGGGCTGACCTTTCTCCTGCTCTGTGGAGCCCTTCATCAGGCAGGGGCTGAGGCTGCTGCCACTCCGGGCTGGAACACTGAGCAGGGGCCGTGGAGATCCAGTCCTGAAGATAGGGCAGGCAGGAATGGGGTCAGGGGCAGGGTGAAGAACCCAGGCCAAGGGCATGGTTCAGAGTCAGATAGTGGGACCCCAGGACAAGTCAGTGGGCGTGACCCTGAAACAAGAGTCAGCAGCAGGGGTCTTAGGAGATGCCTGGGGATGTGGGTATGGGGCTAGATTAGGGCAGCAGGGTAGAACTGGCAGGGGCCAGACTGTACCAGGAGTCCGGGTCACTCTCCCTAAAGCCCTTGGCAAAAGGGTTGCTGGCGATTTTCAGCTGGGTGATCTGCAGAGGAGAAAGTAAAATTATGGGCCAGCACTGAGCCGGGGAAAGGCTGTGGGGCCCCAGGCTCAGCCGTCTTGTCCTCCCTGGACCCGCTGGTCAGGAGGCCCTGGGACCCAGACCACAGAGCCAGTGGATATGCAGGCAGGGGAATGGCTGTGGGCAGATGTTCCCTGAGTCCCAGGGAAGGAGAGAAGGGCTAAGGTCTGTGTGTATGTGGGGGCTAAGAGGCTTAGGTCTCCGTCCCCACCCCTGTGACATGGGCTGGCAGGTGCCCCGTGAGCTGTGCCCAACCCACTCGGTGGTTCTGATACGCTGTCACGGCTGTGAACTGGGTCTCTGTGAAGATGAAGGACTTGAAGTTCTCCTGGGCGTAGCGTTCGCTGTCCTTGCGTGGGTCCACGAAAACCACATGGAAGCGAGGCTGGTAGCGGTGCATGGAGTTGAGAATGATCTGTGGGAGGTGCAGAAAAGGGGTGCGCAGGGGTGGGGGACAGCAGCAAGCTACCACTGAGGCTGAAGCCCTCCTCCCTGGGGCAGAGAGACTGCCGTGGGCCTGCTGCCCCCCTTTTTTGTGTTGATGGTGCAGCGTCAACTTGACAGTCTACAGTTCTGCGTCAAAGCCCCTTATGTCTGAGCATCCTTGCTGCTCGGCCTTCGCTCACACCCACATCCGGCTGCCTGCTTTGCCTTCAGGACTAACCAGAGTCTGGCCACCTCCCTCACCCCACCGCCTCTACCCTGTCTGACCTCCATCACCTTTCACCTGGGCTTCCTCAGCTGCCTCCTGGCTGGTCTCCCTGCCTCCACCTGGCCCTTCTGACCATTCTCCACATAGCAGCCCCAGTGAGTCACAGCATGTCACCCTGTCCTCAAAACCTTCCTGTGGCTCCCACCCCACACAGCGTAAAAGCCAGCTGGCCCTGCAGATCAGCCCAGCCGCATCCAGACTCTCCCCACCCCCACCCCCTCCACTCCAGCCACACAGGAGCCCCCTTGCAAGTTCCCCCAGTTCATCCCACATTCTCTAGCTTCAGGGCCTTTGCACTTGCTGTTTTTTGTTTTGTTTAGTTTTGGGTGTTTTTTTGCCTACCACAGCTCCCCATCTGTATGCATGGGCTTCCTCCTCCGCGTCCTTTAGATCTCTGTTCAAATATCACCTCAGCAGTTTCCTGGGCCCCCTGAAAGGAGCAGCCACCTCCGGCTCAGCCATCCCCACCCCACCCCCACCGGTTCCTTCTTCTCCTGGCATTCATTACCACCTGAGACACTGCATCCAGTGACTTCTGGATTCTTCGCTCACCATGTGCCCCCTACCCGAGGTGAGCCCTGTGAGGGCAGAGACCTTTGCCTACCTGACAAAGTGTCAACAGTGCTATGTCCTGGCACCTACAACTGGCCTGGTTGGTGGTGGGCGTTCCATGAGAAGGACAGTGTTTGCTGGAACATTCCCACGCCCCTAACCCACTTCCCCAGCTGCCTGGACAGTCCCATCTGCTGCCCGACCCCCGCCAGGCGAGCGCAGTCCCCCAGCTTTGACAGTCAGTAGAGGGCAGGGATGCTGGGCGCCACAGGCCCAGCCAACCCTGGCTCCAGGCTTTGTCACAATCAGGCCCCAATGCCCCCTGACCAGGCAGCCCCTCCCCGCTGTGACCCGGGCCTCACGTGGCCGTTGTCATCCAGCAGATTGTTGGTCAGCTTGAGCTTGTCGAAGGACACGATCTGACGCATCCACTGGGCGCCCTTGGCGGGTGAGTCGGGATGGAAGTGCACGCGGCCGGGTGTGGCCGGGTCCGCCTTGCCTGCCACCAGCCAGGCTGAGCTGTGGAAGGCATATCTGGGGAGCAGAGCAAGGTGGTGAGGGTGCCTCATGTGCACCCCACAGCACCTCATCTGCTGCCCCCACCTGGAACTAGACTGGCGGAGCGCAGGGGCCATCACCGTCTCCACTACTGCCCACGCACTATTGCCATCTTGCACACGAGGACCCGGAGGCTCCAAGGCTGCTCTCTGGCCCTGAGATCCCTGTGGCTACACCTGCTGCCCTGGGCTAGCCCACTCTGCCTGCCCAGGCTAGCCCACTGCCACTTCAGCCTGTCGGCTGCCCTGGGTTGGGCTGCCCCCTGCCACCAGGCTCCCATGATTGCCCTAGGATAGGCCTCCCTGACACTAGCTGCTCGGACGGGGGCCCTGCCGCCACAGAGTGCAGCTGGGGGTTGACTTCCTGTCTCAGCACCTGAGGTCTGAGCCGCCTCCCCCCGCTGGTCCCCAGACCTGTATCTCTTGTCATCCAGGGGTACGAAGTCCATGAGCAGGGCATAGTCAGCCAGTGAGTCCATGCCCAGGATCTTCACCTGGAAGGTGGGGAACATCCTCCTGCAGGAGGGAGGTGCCATGCAGCCTGACTGCGGCTCCAGCCGGGCCCCTGCCCCCACCACACACGTGCACCCCCACCCGCTGCTCACACCTGCCTGCCTTGGTGACAATCATCTCTGTGCCCAGCTGGTTGAATTCCTCCCACAGGGCCTTCATCTCCAGCTGGACTGTCACGCTAGACACACATGGGTTCTTGGGACCCTGCCCCGTGGGCTCGGCCCCGACTTGGATCCCTGTGGAGTCAGTGGAAGGGCCGGATGGACTCGGAGAAACCAGCCGGGGCTCCCAGCTGGAGCTGGTCATAGGCAGGGTGTAAGTCTCTGAGGGTGCCAGTACCCCCAGGCCGGCAGAGAGGAAGGCTGGGGAGAGAGGAGAGAAGTGTAGGCTCTTGCTTGCCTCACCCACCCCAACTCTACCCAGTGAGCCCCCTTCCTTCAGGCTGTACCTAGGTGCTTCTTCCTTCAGGAAGCCCTCTGTGACTGCCAGGCCTGTGTTCCCATAGTTAACTTGACTCAGCATCACCTCATGAGGTAAACGCTCACTTAAAGCTGGAGTCCGGAGACCAGGCCCGTCTGGCTCCCCAGGGACTCTTTGAGCCATCAGGTGGCCATGGGGCCTTGAGCAAATTATTTCATCTCTCAGAGCCTCCATTTCCACATGCATAGCAAATGATTCTTAATTCCTGCCTCGTAGGGCTGATGTGAGGATTTGTGAGGACACGTGCAGGGCCTGGCACAGAGTAGGCCCTTCAAAAATGACCCACATTATGGATGATGGGACATGTGAGGTTGTGGGAGTTGGGTGGGGGTTCTTTCTCAGCTCTGTGGAGACCCCACTGCCTGGTCCTGCTTAAGGAGAGCTGAGCTGAGAGGAGAGCCCATGAATTACCACGACTTGCTCTTATCCTTCTCTGACCTCGAAAACCTGCCCAAATCCTGCGTCCGGAAGCCATCTTTCTGCTCTGGCCTCCTCATGTTTTTCTAAAGATCCTGTCTTTTGATCTGCAATCCTGGCACAAGTCTTGGCCAAAAGCTTTGCCACCCGCTACCCTTCTGGTTAAAAAGAAAAATCCTAACTACAATGAGATATTACTTTATACCCATTAGAATGGCTATTACCCAAACAAAAAAAACAACAATAACAAAAACAAAGCTGTGAGTGTTGGCTAGGATGTGGAGAAATTGGAGCCCTTGTGTACTATTCGTGGGAATGTAAAATGATGCAGCCATTGTGGAAAATAGAATGATGGTTCCTCAAAAAATTAAACTTAGAATTAACAGATGACCCAATAACTTTATTTACTGTTAGGTATATACCCAAAAGAATCGAGAGCAGGGACCTGAACAGATAAACTGTACGCCCATGCTCGTAGCAGCGGTATTCATAGCAGGCAAAAGGTGGAAGCAAACCAAGTGGCCATCGATGGACGAATGGATAAGCAAACTCCAGACACATTATTCATTATTATTACTCAGCCTTAAAAAGAAAGAAATTCTGACACATGCTACAACATGGATGAACCTTGAGGACATTATGCTGAATGAAATAAGCCAGTCACCAAAGGATAAATACTATATGATTCCACTTATAGGAGGTCCCTAGAGTCATTAAATTCATTGACAGAAAATGGAAATGTGGGTGCCAGGGACTGAGGGAGGGAGATGGGGAGTTAGTGTTTAATGGGGACAGAGTTTCAGTTTTGCAAGATGAAGATGAATAAAGCTCTGGACATGGGTGGTAGGGATGGTTGCACAACAGCGTGCATGTACTTAATGCCACTGAACTGTACACTTAACATGGTTACGATGGTAATATTTATGTTATGTATATTTTACACAATGAAAAATTTTTAAAGAGGAAAAAAAAATCCTGAAAAACAGACAGTTAGTTTCTAGCAGCCCTAGGAAGGACCAAGGGCCTGGTAAAACCATGGGATCCCCTGGGCAGAGGTGGGATTTCAGTGTTGGATGGACGGACAGAAATAGATGGACGGGTGAAGAGAGTGACGAATGAGCTAACAGGTTGACAGCACCTGGCCAGAGCTGGCACAGAGTAGGTGCCTGGTGAGAGTGTGGGACCCAGGGCCACGTGTGAGAAGTGGTGCCTCGCTAAAGCCACTGGATTTCTGGGTTCTGGGGGTGGGTGGGGTGTGACTCTCTGAGAGTGATGGAGCACATCAGGTCTGCATCTCCCAGAAGAGCATGAAGGGTGGATAGGCAGATGTCCCCCGCCACCTGGACAAGGCCATCAGATGAGCAACTGCCAATATGACATCCAGGTAACTGATGCCAGCCCCCAGGGTCCATGGTGGTGGGTCCCAAGGGGAGAAGCTCATGGCTTCTCTGGGCCTGGGGGCTTCACAGGCTGGTCACTGGCTCCCTGCCCGTCCCGATCAATGTCCCACCACTCAGTGCCCTCAGGAACTCTGGGGAGGGGCCTGTCCTCTGCCCAGTTCTTCTAAAAGCCAGCAGCCCTCAGGGTTAGGCCCACAGCATCAGTCAGGTCTGGAGAGGAAGTCAGAGGCTTCTCGCCCAGCCCTTATCCTGATACTCAAGGGGTGAGGCCCAGAGAGGGGAGGGGACAGGTCCGAGATTCCCCACGCCTGATAAGGCTTTCACCTCCCAGAAACAGCTCTGTCCCCCTGGCTGTCAGCACCCCATAATTGTGCGGTGGCTTCGAGTCCATCAGCCCTGCCCTGACAGGATCTGAGGCCTCAGCCTGAGGTGCCCCTCCCCCACCCTCCTTCCTGCCCAGGGCCTGGGTCCAGTGGGGTTTCCTTGGTCCCCACGCCCAGTCTCTGCTCTGCCCCACTCACCCTGAAGCCTAGCCAACCCATGGGGCTGCCTCAGCTGCCCGCACTGTACCTGCCATGGGGACAGCAGCCTGGATGTCCTGCTCCTGGAGAAGCCCTGTTCAGCTAGGGTGGCGCTGTGACTGCCGCCCAAGGGGGCCCCTGCCTGCCAGGAGGGGTGGTCAGCCACTCCTTGCCTCCTGGTCCATTCAGCAGCACAGCTCAGCTCTCAGGTGCTCACTTCATTCTCAGTTTGTCGGTAGGACCTTCTTCCCAACACAGTCGCTCAGGTCTTGGTTCTCCACCTGAGCGGGGCACCTGGTCTCTGCAGGGGGGACCCTGGCTCTGGGCTGTACAGGGTCCCTTCTTCAAGCCACCCTCACACGGTCTGAGGTTACTGGCTGGGCTTGTCCAGCAGCAGGCGCGAGGCTGTGCAGGAGGCGGGCAGGTGGGAAGGCTCTGACGTTGCAAAGTCTCCCCCTCCCTCTCCCAGTCCCCCCTCCTGGCTCCCTCCCTTCCCCAGCTAGGAGCCCCCCAGCCATTCCTGATCAATGGGCCCAAGCACAGGGTGGGGGACCATCTTGAGGACAGGCTGGGTGGTGCGAAGGGGCCCAGGCCTGACAGACTGGAGAGGCTGGGGGCCGACGCAGCCTCGGGGAGGTTGGGGAGGCCACAGTAGTGGCAGCAGCAGAGGGACGAATGGCAGAGGCGATGTCCTCTCACCAGGACCCAGCCCCCTGACCTGGGGCCGCTGGCGTGGAATCACCAGGAAATGCGAGGGGGCAGCAGCCGTAAGTAATGGCAGAGGCAGAGCCCCCGGACTGGGTGGGAGGCAGCCTGGTCCCCCTGATGGCTTGGCTCAATGAGCTATGTGACGTTGGCAGGTCCCTGACAGTCCCTGGGCCTCAGTTTCCCCAACTGAACTAAGTGCATTGTCTCTTCTGCCTGGGAAGGGCTGGCTCAGCCTGGGGAGCAGTAAGCAGGCCCTGTCCTGGCTGATGGGCCTACGTAGTCCCCATAGGGTTGGAGGCTGGCCCAGGTTGGAGGTCACTGGCGGGGGCGGGGGTGTCTGCTCTGCCCATGGGTCTGTCTGCTTTCTCCAGCCTGACCAGGCACCTTCTCCAGGCCACTTCTTGCTTGTCCTGGGCTGGACTTTAGGGGATACACGAATCACAGGTCAGGAAGGCAGAGGGGCTGAGGTCTCCTGAAGCTGGTTGCTCTCAGTTGAGAGTGCTGTTTGGCTATTTGATCCCTGCCACATGGCCCAGGGAGGGTCATCTGGCTGGACCCAAGGTTAGCCCACTCTGGGAGGAAGCATCCCAGGCCAGAACGTTAGGCAAGAGCACCCAGGCTGGGCTGGGCACGCTCGACTGGAGTCCCCAAGGCCAGCCTCCCCCCGACACACACACACCTCCCCAAGGCCAGCCTCCCCACCCACCCCCCACACACACACCTCCCCAAAGCCAGCTCCCCCCCACACACACACACACCTCCCCAAGGCCTACTTGACCCCCACACACCTCCTCCAGAGTCTGGCACTGGGGACGTGGGGTTGGCAGAGGCCCGCATCTAAGAGGGAGCACCGAGGGGCCAGCAGTCAGGGAGGCTGCTTCTCTCAAGCGTGGCCCCTCCCAGAGCCTCACGCCTCATGTAGACCTCTCCTCCCTTTAGCTCACGCATGCCTGCTGCTTCTGTCCCTGGGTCCCAGATGCCTGCCTGCTGAGCCGGGAGGGGTCCTGCAGGGGAGAGGGTGGGCCCGGTGGGCCCGCCCTGGCATGCACCCTTGCTCTACTCTAGGGGGAAGGCTGCACCAGCTCTGGGGTTTGCTGCCAGACAAGATGGGGCAGGGAGTTCTCTGTGCTTGTGATAGAGGGTCCCAGTGGGGCCCAGGGACTACCCGGTAAGGTGTGGCCATGCCACCCTGCCCAGGATCCACAGTGGGGTGGGTGGGAGGTGAGAGAGGTGACCGAGGGGCCTGGTGGCTCACGATGTGTGTGAGTATGTGTGTGTGCTTGCACACACCTTTGGTCTGCATGATGGGAAACACCCTCACATGTGTACATGAGCACACTGACTTGCCAACCCACGAACACACATGTGTGCACAGATGCTGACCTGCCACCCCTCATGTTCACATGTGTACAAGCTCCTGTGCGCATGCGCGCGTGCACACACACACACACACACACACAACCCCATGCACACACACACGCACACACACACACAACCCCATGCACACACACCAGGCACACAGGCGCGCCTCGGCCGCCTGCACAGCCCCCTCCCCGGCTGGCCAGCCCTTCCTGCCGGAGGCGCCTACTGGCCCCCTGCCCCCTCATCCATCTTGCCTGCCAGCCTGTCCCTGGTGCCCTGGTATCCTTCACACCTTCTCATCTCGCTGCTCAATAGCAGGAGGCGGCGTGGCAGCTGTGGCCGCAGGGAGATGGATGGGCCAGGCGAGGGTGTCAGGGGGTCAGGGGGTGATGCCTCAACAGGATGGAGTTCTGGGCTCCACCAGCCCTTTTTCAGCCAGGAACTATGTCTTGTTGGGCTCAGGCGGGTGTGGGCAGCGTCCTTGGGGCCCCGTCCCACCCTCCCCAGCTCGGCCCTGCCACGGACACCCTGCAGAGAGTGCCGGGGTCACGACCAGGGACCCCAGCAGCAGACCCTGTGCTCACTGTCCCCCAATGCTGACGTGGGACGTGTCGGGTGATGGAGGAACCTCTGCTTCCCCAGGAGGACTTTCCTCCTCCCTGTGTCCCCACACCTGGGTGGACAGAGCCTATTGAGCTGCACTCCTTCCCCAGCCCTGATCTCCACGGGCGCCAGGCTCATTACATACCTGGAAATACACATCCAAACTATGCACCCGATCACACAGATCCTCCCAGAACAGCCAAGGTGCTGAGGCTTTCGGGAACATATATGCACACGCACACACAGCACCTGAGGCAAGCACACGCATGGGCACCCACACGCGTGTGCGTATACATGGGCACACACTTTTGCTCTCCCAGGAGTGTAGGGGCTTGGGGACCACCTTCTGTTAATGGCCCTCTGAAAACCCCTCTGCTGGCCCCAGGACAGTTTTTCTCCAAATCTCCTCCACAGTATAGGATAGTCCCTGGATAAGTGTGGGCACAGAGACAGCTACCACTGACCCCAGGACACACAGCATGCCCAAGGCCACACTGAGCCAGACCTGCCCCAGATCCTGAGGCCACAGAGAGGGGCCAGGCAGGGCAGAGGACACGAACCATGGACCCCTAGACATCTTTCGCTTTATAGAATGGGAAACTGAGGCATGGAGGTGGGGGGATGACAAGGATCATGGTTTACAGCAGGTAGCAAAAGGTCCCCTGAGCTGGAGGTCGTGCCTTAGGCTGAGGCTGGGCAGGTATGGCCTGGGTTAGGGATCTGGGGTGGGGGCGGGGGCCAGCATGGACAGGGCGGGCACAGAGAACGTGAGCTTCTCAGTCTGCAAGAAGGCAATGCCCTTCTCATAGTAGGCAGCCTCGTTGATGAATACGGGATACACAGTGGCCTCCCCCTCATAGAGCACGTCCTCGCCACTGAACATCTGGAAGATGGGTGCACCGGGCCGCAGTGGCTCAAAGTCGCGGTCCTGGGAAGACAGCCAAGGGCCAAGGTTACTGGGGCTGACCTCTGCCCCAGCCCCAGTCAGGGTGACCCCAGCAGGGACTGCCCAAGAGATGCCCCTCATAGTAGGGCCTCGCCCACTCACTCCTTCACTTCCTAAATCGATGTGACAAGGTGTCTGCTGAGATGCCAACTGATTTATGTCTGGAAATGGAGACACCAGTCACCTTAGAAAGACAGTTGTCATTGTAGAAGTGTAGCCTAGTGGTTACGGGCACAGGTAGTGAAGCCTGGGTTTAAATTCTTGCTAACTGTGTGACCTGGAGCAAATCACTTAACCTCTCTGTTCCTCAGCTTCCTCATCTGTAAAATAGGGACTATGATCTGTCCCCTATCACCCTGAGGTTTAAATTAAATGGCTAGTAGTGCTTAAAACAGCGTCTGGCACTTAGTAAATACAATATAAAAGTTTATTAAATAAATTTTTAAATTGTGCAAAAAATCATTCAAAATGACTGTTATGACTTAGCCTCTGCAAGGAAGACTGGCAGGATGGCTTAAGACCCTGTAGCCCTAATACTGACAGGATGGAGCCCCCTCCACCATAACGTTGTTCCAAGTAAGGTAACATATCAAAATAAAACACAAGAGTTGTAACCAGAGCAAAAAAGTCCAACCAAGTTCTGATTTTTCCTACAGTTGTTACTTTGGTCCCTCAGGAGGTTTTTGATATATCAGATTCTTCCCAATATTTCTCTCTCTTTCATACCCGTGCTCAACTGTGCCCTCGGTGCATGCCAGGGCTGTCTGCCGGGTTGCTCCCATGCCTGGGAGACAGACAGGGCTGACGGAGGGAGGTGGAAGCCCCTGAGACAGACACCCATCCTTGCAGAGTTTCAGAATTTCTTGGTCACCCCCCCGGATACCGGAGCGGTCCCGCGCCTGAGTGCCACGGTCAGAAGAGGGCCCTGCAGGGACTCATCGTGGAGGAGGGGCTTCTTGATGGTCACTGGGTTCAGCAGTCGAGCTTTGAGATGGGCTCGGGGAGGACTGGTGCCAACAGAGCAGGTGGCCCCCTTTGAAGCCCCTTTCACCTCTGAAGGTCAGATGGGGGACTTGGGGAATAATTACTAGTGAGGCTACGGCTGGAGCGCCTGGCTTGGGCACTCCTGCGGCCTCGACACTGCGTGAAGCAGAAGCCAGGGAGGGCGTGGGCCTTGCTCCACAGCGACCCCGTGTGGCGGCAAGCAGAGCCGCAGCGGGTGGGCTACCCATTTTTCCCAGCCTTCTCCCCGCCAGATACAGAAGCAGGACCACCCAGTTCCTGGAACATGCAGGAAGGGTAGGCCTGGAGAGGGAGATGCTGGACGCCATGCGAATGTGCACAGGGATGCTCGAGGAATTAATTGGAAGATAAAGAGAGGGCTCTGTATTTGCCCCTCCAAGCAGGGAAATTGGGTCAGGCCTGCTCCACGTCCCCTCCCTCCCTCTGCCTTCTGTGGCCAGGAGAGGTGAGTCTAGGCTGTTGAGGAGCCTCTAATTCCTTCCCAAGGCACTGTGAGTGTCACTGTGGCCCAGAGCTCCAGGCTTGCGTGCAGGGTTCCCAGAGAGGCATGGGGGCAGGGCATGGGGGCCCAGGCTACTGTCCTCCTGCTCTTAATTCTGAGATGCTAATGACTCTATGGGAGGCACTGTGGTCCCTGCCTCTGGGCCTTGGTTTTCTGACCCCACCCCCACCCCCGCCCCCCAAGGCTGTGACCCAGGGGTCCAAACTCCATAGCACACACACACACACACACCTGCAGCTGAGGATGCACGGTGCCCGCCAAGTCCCCGGCCTCGGTGCGTGGGAAGTCCATGCCCCTAATGGCTCTGTACCCTTCCATCTCAAAGGCAGGAAAAGCTGTGCCTGTGCAGGGGTGGGGGTGGGGTGGGAGTAGGCTGCATGCGTGAGCCTGCCCTTCCCTCCAGGCCCCAGGGCAGAGTCAGGGCAGAATGGGTCATGGGAGCCACTCAGGATTGATTCCCAGCCTACCCAAGAGCCTGGCTCCTTGGCCACTGGGCCAGGCTCCCTCCTGTTTGGGCCTCAGTTTACCAGCAAGTCCTGGAGGCCTCACCCTGGTTGAAAAGCTGGATGAAGTCCAGAGCTGCAGCCACCAAAGCCCTCATCCTGGTGGAAAGGTCGGCCCGCAGCACGCCCTGAGGCTGGGGACCCAGTTCCAGGCCTAGGGACCAGGAGGGGAGAGGTCAGGCAAGTGCCCCAGAGAGGGGGGACTACAGACCCCAGGCCCCTGACACCACCCGTCACCTGGCCCTGTACCTCCCAGCCCCACCAATTTCTCCCAAGGTCATGGCTCACCCATTCCGTTCTTGGCTACCGAATACAGGCTGTAACTCTCCTCCCCAGGCACCTGGTACAGGAGGACCCTGCAGGGCAGCTCAGGGCTCTGCATCTGTGAGCAGAGGGGTGGGTGAGGGCCCCAGGTGGGGAGGGGGGGAGCAGGTGGGGAAGCACACAGAGAAAGCAAAACACACCACGTGGGGCAGTGGGCTGAGGGGTCCAGAGGGCCTGGACCACCTGCAGGTGGCCGACCCCAGGGATAGGAGCCCAGGGAACCACCCCTCCCACCCCCAGTACAGGAGGCACCAGCTCCATCCGTGTTCTCTTTCCGTCCCTCCCTCGCTCTGCAATCTGGGGGCACAGGGCCACCTGTAGGTGGCGGCACAGGTGCATGGCAAAGACATTGTGGGTAGATTCCGAGATGAGGCAGGTGCCCATGTTGGCCGTGGTGTTGTGCAGGTCGAGGATGAAGTCAAAGGCCCGGCCTGAGGCCTTGGGCCCCAGCAGCTGGTTCAGCTCTCGGGCCCTCTTCACCTCGTATGGGTCATCTGGGTGAGCCCTGGCACTGCAGGGGGAGGGTGGAGGTATCAGCTGCTGACAATCTCAGTCTGTCATTAGAGGTTTAAGGGGGCGGGGGTGGTGGGAGGGAGCAGCCTCATGTGCTAACAGGAGTGAAGCCCAAGACCTTGCAGGAGAAACAGAGCAGCTGCTCAAGGGCTTGTCCTTCGTGCCTGTGTGACATATCTGTCTCACAAAGCCCTCCTTGGCTCCCCGCTGCTCCCATAAAGTTCAAACCCTCAGCCTGGCCCTGCCAGCCTGCCATATCAACTCTCACTCTGGCCACACTTCTAAGAACCGTGCTGGTCTCACTGCCAGATTTTTGCACCTGCTGGCCCTTCCCTGGAAGCTCCTCTCTTCTCTTCACCTGGTTAACGTCTACTCACCCTTTGGGGTTTGGCTGAGATATCACCTCCCCCAGGAAGCCTTCCCTGACTACCCTTGGCCAGGTTACATGCTTTGTGTCTCCCCAACCCCTGCATTTAGGCTCCTGGGTTGTGGTTGCTGAGTTTATCCTGTGTCCCCCAGTAAGCTGAAGACAACACCTTGGTCCTACTTCGCATTCTCAGAGGAGGCCCTGACCCAGCCTGGGATCAGGTACGGCTTCCTGGAGGAGGTGACATCAATCTGGATTTCCCTAAACTGAACAAGGAAGCACGGGCATTGGAAGCAGAGGGGTGTGCCCTGTGGTGGCTGGAGGGGGAGTTTGAGGTGAGGACCTCGGTGCCAGGCTAAGTGGCTGGGCCAGCCTGGAGGGCAGGGGCCCCAACGCAGCAAGGACACTTACGTGAGGAAGGTGCTAGTGAAGGTGCGGTTGAGGTCACGGTCCACGTAGCGACGGCAGGCGGCTGTGGCCGCCGGGTTGGCCAACACAGGCATGGCGGAGAAGCTGGGTCTCTGCAGCTCCCCCGGGGCCCGCAGCCAGTGCTGGGCCAGGTAGACGCCAGACATCTCATTGCCATGGGTGCCCCCGGTCACTGCCACGCGGCGCAGAGGCTCTCGGGGCACAGGCCACGAGCACATCCTGGTGTGTGGTGGAGGGCCTGGTGGGTGGACCTGCCTAGGCAGCCCCAGCACAGATGCACAGCCCAGTGCTCAGAGCCAGGGTGGTGGTGGTGAGCTCCTTAAGGCCCGACGAGTCCAAGCCGGGAGGGCAGCTGCCTATCAAAAAATATGGCTGGATGGTAGCTCAGCTGAGTCCCACTGCTCCTCAAGTTTGTCCCTCCTGGTGCCTGCCGCCCCCTTTAGCGCCCTTCCTGGGAGGGTAAGCATTGCTCTCCCCTGCTTTTCTCTAAGACTGTTTTCCTGCTCCCTTTGGTGAGAAGACGTTTTTTTCTCGGAAGTTGAGAAGAGGGGCCCAGACATTCAGGGCAGTGGATTCACCAAGGCACACCCCCTATAGCAAAAGGATTAGGCTCCCGTTTTATAGATGGGGAAACCAGGGCACAGGATGGGGAGCAGACAGCGTCAGGTGCGTCAGCTACGGAGCATCGGGGTTCCAGGTGACTCTTGCTCCTCCCTGCCCCTCCCTCATGCTCATCTGAGCCACTGCAGGGACCTCAGGGAGCCGGGTGGTTACCTGCCGATGGGGGTCTGGGCTTCCTGGGCCACTGTCACGTCCTGCGTGGCAAGGGCAAATGGGACACGAGAGGAGCGACACAGCTTGAATAAGATCAAGAGACAGAAGTAAGATTGAAGAGCAAGACCAAGGGACTCAGCCTAAGAGAGACTGAGCCCCGAATCGGGTCAACGCAAGGCTTTTATTGAGAATCTTCAAAGAAGCAAACTGCAGAACTGTGGATCATTAACCGTGTATACGTGGGTGCCTTAAGGCTTGTTCCCATTACCTGACCCCTTTGTACTCCAACAAATGCTATGCCTTCGTACATCACTGCACAGCCCCAGGACACTCTGTTACATGTCCTCCCAGGGGAGACAACTGATATCATTCCATCAGGTCTCAGTTTTCCAAGACGCCCCCCGAGAGAGCTTTACAGATATCATTCAATCCGGCCTCAGTTTTCCGAGACACTCTCTCGACTACAGGGTATGAGGCTAATGCAGAGGGGGTGGTCGTGGGATTGGCTGTAAGGCAACAGGCCACCAGGGCTGGGGTGTGACCCTCCTAGACAGGCCAGTATTAATAGGCCTGGAGATCCCTGGGCAGGAAGTGTTTGTGACAAGTTAGTAGAGAGCAGGGAGTGGGTGGCGCAGGCTAAAGTCCAGTCAGGAGCGCTGTGGCCTCCCCACCCAGCTCTGTCCCCCACTGCTGCTGGCCACTGCCACAGTCCACTGAGTTCAAGCCTTTAGCCAGGATTGGGTCCTTGTCGTCTGGGAATAGGGACAACCCCACCTCCCAAAGTCTCCACTGGGGAGCTGCACATGGCCTTGGAAAATCAACTTGCAGGGAGTCTTTAAGGCCTTGCATGAAGACGAATCCCCGCCCCCCCGGAGAGCCTCAGGGGGAAGCCAAGCCGGGCTGTTTACTGCACAGGGTCCAGCCAAGGGCATCGGGCCTGGAATGCAACCTTCGAGCTACTTGCTGGGCCGTGGGCCGTGACCAGACCAGGCTACTGCGTTACCTATTGAGACATGTGCCTTGGTGGCTGTCCCTTCCCTCCACCCCCTCAGCAACAGGCTTTTGTCCTTGCAGCCCCCAGAGGGACAGGTATAACTCAAAGAGTCCACTTGTTTTATTTTGGAAATGACCCTCAGACCCACCTCACAGATGTGAAACCTGGGGCTCAGACAGAATGCCCAAGGGCACGCAGGGCACTAGAGGCAGAGTTGGAGCTGGAACCTGGGGGTGTCCAATCTGAGCCCACCCTGTGGGCCTGTCCCTCCCCCAGGCTTAGAGTTGCTGTGAGGGTTAAATCGGATCACATGTTTCTAGGGCCTAAGGGTCCCCACTCCGGGGTGCAGTGGAGTCCAGACTCTTGTGTAAGTGGAGCCAGCGTTGGACACAGAGGCCCTGGCTGCAGAGGGGCTCCTGGCCGCACACCTCTCAGAGCTTCCCAGGGCTCTGTCATGGCCTCGAGGAGAGAGGCAGAACTGGGCAGTGAGCTGTCCAGTCCAGTTGCCCGGTGCCTACTATGTGCCAGGCGCTAGGGCCCTGAGGCTGGACCCTCCCACTCCTAGGCTCCTGGTCGCAGGCCCTCTTCACTTCCAGACTTAGTCCTCCCAGGCTGGCTCAGCCCTGGCCAGAGCCGGGCACACCAGCTGGGGGTTCCGGTGGCCAGGCCCCTCCGGGCCAACCCTCTTTGTAGCTGTCCAGATCACGTTCAACTCATGGTAAGGCCTGGGCCTGCCTCTGCTGCCCTGCCCTCCACCCCTGATCACGGGATGGAGGTTCCCGTCAGGGCAGCGGGCACCTTGAGAGGGTAGCTGGGCGAGGGTGATGAAGTGTGATGCTGGGCCACCAAGGGGGTTGGGCCCCCTGATACCTCCTGGAGGGGAGGCACCCCCTCCTGGGGTCTGGAGGGCACAAAGGGAGGGCACAGCCCACCATCAGTCACAATCTTCACCTGCGTTGGTCCTGGAGGGCGGCAAGGAGCCTTTCACAGTCTAGACCTGGGCTCTAGGCCTAAACTGGTGGGTGATGGTGGGACAAGTCAGGAGGTGAGCCTGTGTCTGTCTCCCTCCCAGTCCCAGCTACCCGCGTGCTCTGGGCGGGGGCCTCAGGGCCCACGGCTACTCCAGAAGCCATGGTCTTCGATAGAGCCCCCCACTGCCACCCCCCGGCCGGAATTCTGCTGACTTGGTGCTGGGCCTCTTGGGGAGGAAGGAAGGGCCTGCTCAGGACATGGCTATTTTGGGGGGTACTGGGGGCCAGGGCACGTCCTGCCAGGAGGTGCCGGGCCCCCAACTCTGGGGAGAACAGCAGTGTGGGGTCTTGCAAAGTTTCACTTCCCTTGGAGGGGATCCAGCGTCCCTGTTTCAGAGGGTGTTTATAGAACGGAAGGGGGGCCGGGAGCTGGGACAAGAGTCCCCAGAAACAGCAGCCCCCAATCCGGACTGAGTGCACGTGTGTGTCCGCCTGTGGATCTGTGCGTTCGTTCACGTCTGTGTCATGTGTACCAACGTGTGTCTGCAGGGCAGTAGCGAGAACAGTCGAGGTGAGCCTGCTGAGTCCCACCTCTGAGCCCAGGAAGCAGAGGGGTCCCCAGGCCCTCTTGGCTCTGACACCCATCCCTGACAGACTGTGTGACTTGGGGAGCGTCAGTGCCCTCTCTGGGCCTCAGCTCCTGCCTGTGAAATGGAAGTGAGGCTCTCTTCCGGCCCAGACTTGGAACAGGCACAGGTACAGCAGACCCTGGCAGAACCGAGAGCAGAGGTATTGTGAGTGTCAACGGGGCCAACGTCGTCACTGCTGTTGGGGGAAATTGAGGCCCAGAGAGAGGTTAAAACCTGAGCCAACCCACAAAATTGTAAGGCTTGGCCCAGGGGAGTCATGTGATGTGGGAACTTCTCCTAAGGGCAGCTGCCCAGTGGGTTTGGAGCCCCTGCCTGACTGCCTGCCATCCTCACCAGCCTCTAACTCCCTCTTTGGCCTCTGCTCAGCCCCCTCTTGCTGTCTTTCCACGGCACCCCCATCACAACCTTTTCCTCCATCCCAACCCCCCACCAGGAACACCCTGTCTACTTCTTCCCTCTGGCCTGGTGGGTGTCCTGGGGTGGGGGTGAGAGGAAGACACCTCATATTGTAGTTTTTCTTAATGGCTCACTCTAGACTATGGCCAGTTACCACAGTGGAAGCAGCACCTATGGCTAAAGTTGATCCCTGAGCCCTAAGAGACCCTGGGATGGCCCCCAAGCCTCGGGCAACAGAACACCACTGCTAGACAAGGAGGGGCTGCTGTCACAAACCTGGAAGCCGTGACAGAGCCCTAGGCAGTGTGTGGCCAGGGGCCCCTCTGCAGCCAAGGCCTCTGCCCAACACTGGCTCGGCTCACCTGTAAGCGTCTAGACTACACTGCATCCCAGAGAGGGGACCCCAGGGCCTCAGACACACGTGATCCCATACAACCCTCACACCAACTCTAAGAGGTAGGTGGGAACCCTATTCTAGAAGATAAGCAAACAGAGGCTCAGAGACGTGAAGGGACTTGCCCTAAGGCACCCAGTCATGATGTGGCTGTCAAGTCCTGCGAACCCAAGCGTTCCAGGTGGTGGAGCGACTGCAGGGAAAGGTAGGGTGCTGCGGAAGCCAGGCTAGGCCGCTGAGACCATCCAGAATGTGAGATAGGTTCCTGGGGGAGGCAGTGCCTGAGTGAAGGTGGGGGAGGGGCCGAGGTGGGGGGAAGGGAGCACTGGGAGGAGAGCCACTGAGCAAAGGCCTGGAGAGGCTCACGGCTCGGAAAGTCGTCTGTATGCCGGGTCTTAAAAAGCAGAACACAGCCTTTGCCCCGTGTATGGCTGACACCATCTCCAGGACTGGGCCCTCGTCAGCTGGGACTGAGAGAGAAAAGGGCTGGAACTGGGAAGGGCGGTGTGAATCAGGGCTGCTGGGTCCTATTTGTGGCCTCTCCTGAACAGCCTCCCAGGGGTAGAAGAGAGAACCTGCTCTCAGCCTCCCTTGCGGCCAGGATGCAGTCATGTGACTGTTGTAGTGGTCAGGGGCCACCGAAACTCTGGCATTCTGGGACTGCCCTCCTCACCCCCAGTGGCGCCCCAGAGCCACATTCCCTTTGGAGGCTTTGTCCCCTCTCTGAACCACAGCGGCCAATGGCAAGACAGCAATGGGAACAAGATTACATGTGATGAGAGCAGTGACATTTCTAGTTTTCACTGAGCGGAACCTTCTGTTCTTTTCTCACTGGGCTCACTGCCCAGACCGTGGCCTGGAGACCCTCCAATTCTTCTCAATCCCTCCAGCTCTCTGTTCAGTTCAATGGTCATTTTCAGGAAACAGCTTCCCAGGGCAGGGGTGGGGAGAGTGGAAATCTCTCAGACCCAGGCCCACTGGTCACTCAGATTCTACCTGGGCCACCTAGCCGTCCATCAGTTCATCCATCCTCCCATCCATCCATCCATCCATCCATCCATCCTCCCATCCATCCATCCATCCATCCATCCATCCATCCATCCATCCTCCCATCCATCCATCCATCCATCCATCCATCCATCCATCCATCCATCCACACATCCTTCCTCTCACTTCCTTACTCATTCCTTCCTTCACTCATCAACAAGCCCCCGTTAAGCACCTCCTTTGCGTCCACTGCGCTATCCCCAACGATTCCCAGAGGAAGAGGAAGGTCATACTCCCCCTGTTTCCCCTCAACCTCAAGCCGCCGGCCCCAGTTTTTCCATGGCTTTCAGGGGTGAGGAGCCCACCGAAGTGGACTCCCAGGTGCAAGACCAGGGAGAGAGCAAGAGGCTGGTGACAAACGACCAGATGTGCTCTGTTTACTGATTCCCACCCCACATGTCTCAGTAAAGTCGACCATCACTCAGCTCTGCCCTGCTTTTCTGGGTAAACTTCATTCCACCCTATCCTGTCTCTAGACCTCAGTTTCCCCATATGTCAGGTGAAGTGGCCATATTTAGACTCTGCCCCCTCTGACCTTCTACTGGGAGTCTGCAGCAGGGATGACAGACGTAACGACCCTGTACACAACCCCCTCCTATGTCCATAGCAGACATCACTAATCAACTGCTGCCTTCCTATTGATTCCACACAGCATCAGTGTTCTTGTCAATTACCTACTTCAGGCAATTGGCCAGATCTGGGTTCAAGATCAGATCACTTCAGGTCAGATAAACCCAGTTCCCCAAACCATGTGTGAATGGAGCAGTTAGAAATCACTCTGTATTTTGAGAGCCTAATTATAGATCCAGCATGAAGGAGTCCTTTCTAACATGGGAGCTACCCAACCTTGCAGGGAGGTGGGGTGAGCTCTCTGTTATCAGGCATATCCAAGCAGAGGGTCAATGAATCTGTCAGGAGGCTACAGAGGGGACTTGGGCCCTGAAACGGGTGGCCCAGCAGCCCGGAGGTCCTGCCTAGCTGGGGGAGTGTTCAGACAAAGGCCTGAAGGCAGGATCTTTGCACTACTGGATGGGACGCCCACCTTTCAGGAATCACTGAACACCTGGGCAGCAGCAGGACAGAGGGGCTGTGGGGTGGGGGGCTGGAGGCAGGCAAAGCTCTCACAGAAGGGTGCAGCCCTGGAAGCTCAAGGCCCAGGTCAAGAGTTGCTTCTTCCTGTTAGTATAGGGCGGGTAGCGGATATTGTTGAGCTTCTCCAGGCCTGTGTGAGTTAGCAGGCAGGAGCGGTGATGGGAGAAGGTATCGAAGGAGAACTTGCCATGGCATCTTCCCATCCCGCTTTTGCCTGCGTGAACACAACACACAGTCAGGCCCTCAGTAGCCAGCCAAGGCGACATCAGACAAGCCTGGGCGGGCTACTTCACTCCTTCGAGCCTCAGTTTCCCCATCTGTAAAGTGGGCTCATCATGAGAGGCTGTGGGTAAAGGGCTTCGCCCTGAGCCGGGCACCAGCTCAATAAACATTGGGGATAGCAGGTGCCGTGCCAGGTGTGAGGACAAGGTAGGTAGACAGCGGTCAAGAATGTGCCGGGTTGAGTCCCGGCTCTGAACTGGCTGTGTCACCTTGGGCCGGTGACCGCCTTGGTCTCTTTCTCTGTGACATGGGGTGACCATGGCACCCACGTCTTAGAGTCGTGGGGGTTGGGCAAGTGTTGAGACCCGTGGACGCAATAAGCACTGTGTTGTTATGAGTCTAGGCGGGGAGGCAGGCTGGACCAGGCACTTCTGCACCGGAAGCCCAGGGGACCCAGCCTGGTGGCGCTGGGGGTAATCAGGGGCGGCTTCCTGCAGTGAGCGAGGCCTGAGGGATATGGAGTTGGCCAGATGAAGCGGGTGGGTGTGGGCAAGAGGGACCCACCCGTGGGGATTACTCAGCCTTGGAAGTCGGTGACCTGTGGCATGTTAGGACCCGGGCAGAGCTCAGTGTGGCTGGGGCAGCAGGCAGGGAAGCGGCGGGAAGAGGCCAGAGCAGGACACCATGGCCAGACCAGGATGGGTCTCCAGAAGCTGTGAGTCAGGGGCCTGGCTTGGTGCCTGAGGGGCCTGGGAGCCCTGGGAGGTTTTCTCTGGGCGTAGCAGGACCAGGTCCACCCCCAGGCAGACCCCCACGCCTCCCTGAGGAGCAGGGGCTAGGACTGGAGACAGGCAGCCTGCGGGGCTGGGAAGCGGGGGAGCCGGAGCCAGGGCCCGCAAGTCCCGCTTTGGTTCTCAGCCTGCTGTGCGCTCCTGTGACACCGGCCACTCTGCAGGGAGGGGCCGGGTCCTGCTGAGCGTGGACAGGTAGAGGGACCTCACTCAGGTCCTTGGCCTCCTCATTCCACGGAGGAGGAAGTGGGCTCAGAGAGGGGAAGTGGCTGCACCTGAGGCCTGGCCTTTGCAGCAGTAATGGGGGCTGCGGGAGGGGTGTGTGCACTCACCCGGGCCTCCCTGAGGGGCAGGTGGATCACTCCTGGGGCTGCCGTGCCGAGGGTTGCACTGGGGCACAGGGTGAAAGGAGCAGTGTGTACCCTCACCACGGACTACAGAGCACGCGCAGGCTGCCTGTGTGCTGACGGGCAGACTGGAAGACGCGCTCTTGGGGGAGAGCAGGAGCAGCACAGGGCTGTGACACTGTATCTGTGGGCCCGCCCACATGTGTCAGTGCAGAGGCAGCTGGAAGGTTCCGCCCAGGACTGTGTGGGGAGCAGCATGGAGGTGTTGGGTGCCATTCAGTCAAGTAAGGTAAGAGAAGGCAGGGCCCTGCCCGCACCTACCCACTCCTCCGAAAGGCAGGCTGCTGAGGGACAAGTACATGAAGCCGTCGTTCGCAGTGAAGGCCCCACTGCTGGTCCGGGCCAGCACCTGCTTGACCACCTGCAAAGAAGCAGCAATGAGGCTGAGAGGCTGGACTGCAGCAAGCCAGCCGGCTGTCCCCAGGTCCCAGGGGCTCTGCCCAGCCCCCTCAGGGCCCTGGAAGGGCCTGAGTTCACCCTGTGAGCTGAAGGGGGTGGTGGGCAGCTGGAGGGCGGGGCTGTACGGCAGCTGCCAGCGAGCTCCCCACTAGGCCACGTTTACTGCACATCTGCTCGCCTGTGCAGGGTGCTGGGGACACAGACTAATGCCCAAGAGGGAGGCGAGACCCCCAGCATTTGCCTGGAGACAGGGAGAATGCAGGGTAGTCAGGGAGGCG